TTCCTTAGAGCCAAGACCTCAGCTGATCCCCCAAGAGGCTGTACCTCACAACTTAGGCTGTCCTCTAAGAGGAGCTGACTGAGTGCCTAAAATTCCTTGAACCATGCGGGACACAGGACACCTGTGGGCACATTGTGGCAGGCCCAGGAAACACTAGTGATTGAGAACATAGGACTCTGTGAGGTGTCCAAAGGAAACTTGCCTGAGAAAATCGGATATGGTGCTTATTCCTAAGAAAGATAAAAGGATAAGCACAGAATTTTTGCAGGTATGAACTGAAATTCTCTATAAACTTGCTCAAATCAATGAAACTTCAGACCACTTGACTTTGGGGAACTAAACCACCATGAGGGCAGTAAGACAGGGTTCTGGATGAATGGCAAAAATTATCTTGGGCTATCTTAAGCCCTTTAATAGCCAATTACCTCAATTTCTGTATTAGTTCAAAATTCTCAGAACAAATAAACTTCTCAGTATGTATTACCAACCTTATTTGACATATAAGCACCATCTTCCAAAGCTAACAATGTAATAACAGACCTAAAGAAGAAATCCCCCGACCCTTTTTACTGTAGTCACCAACCTGATGATCCTAACAATGCAATTGGTTAATGTATTCTTACATAACTTTCTTTAATGTTCTTCTCGGCTATGCACACTGGAGCACAACTACAAAACCAACAGGTTGACAAACTGAGTCAGGAGGACTGCTAAATTCAAAGCCAGCCTCAGTAACTTAGTGAGGCCCTAAGGACAATCAGGCCTCAAAATAAAATATAAAAAGGGCTGTGGATATGGCTCACTAGTTAATTACCCCTGGGTTCAATCCTTGGTATTAAAAAAAAAAAAAAATGGAATATCTTCCAGAGTGGAATACATACATCATTCAGGATAAGTTAAATGAACATCCTCATGTTCTTGAGGATGGTCATTAATATTTGGGTCAAAATAAACTATATTCTTCAGGTATGGTGGCCAGAGCCTTTAATTCCAACAGAATTGAGAAGCTGAAGCAGGAGGATCACATGTTCCAGGTGAGGCTAGACAACATAGCCAGATCCTGTCTGAAAATAAAATGTAAAAGGGCTAGGGATGAAGGACAGTATAATAAATCAAGCATCGGGCTGGGGATGTGGCTCAAGCGGTAGCGCGCTCGCCTGGCATGCATGCGGCCCGGGTTCGATCCTCAGCACCACATACAAACTAAGATGTTGTGTCCGCCAAATACTAAAAAATAAATATTAAAATTCTCTCTCCCTCTCTCACTCTTTCTTTAAAAAAAAAAAAATCAAGCATCATTATCCTATGTGGATATATGACTAATAACCATTATGTACAACCACAAAAAGGAGAAGTTAAACTCTATGTATGATGTGTCAAAATGTTTTTACTTACTGCCATGTACAAGTAATGAAAACCAAGTAAAACAAATACATAACTTCTGCAAAAACTAACAAACAAAAAAGGGCTGGGATGCAGACCAAGATTGAATATCCCTTATAAGAGATGCCTTATTTCATTAAAGCAGCTATTTTACCCAAACACAGGATGTGTCAAGTGATTATTCTTTCCCCTCAAGTATGATATTCAGAACAGAAAACAAATGCTTTCAAAAGTGTTATTCTTGCCAGGGATAGGGGCACAGGCCTGCAATGCCAGGGACACAGGCGACTGAGCCAGGAGGATCACAACCTGAAAGTGAACATACAAAACAACTGAGATATAATCACACTTAAAAAAATAAATAAATAAGGGAGGGGGTGTGCCTGAGGATTTCACTGATAAAGCTTCTCTAGTTTTGATCCTCAATACAAAAACAATATATTCCTTGCAATACTTCACTAGAGAGAAAGTGAAAATTAATAGACTGTGTCCATTTGAAACACACGAGGAAGACCAGATATTTGAGAGTGATGGGAAGAGAAGAGGAAGATGGCATTTTAGAACGCAGGAGGCAACTGCAAATGAAATACCTACAGCAGCCTATGGAGAAACTAAACTGGAGGAAGAAAAGTGGATTTGCAATCCTGCTTCCTACACATTTGGAAGAGTGGGTGCGGGACACCAGCAGGGAGAGGAGGGGAAGCCAGGAACCTGAGCCACCCATTCAAAAATGGAAGCCAAGGGACACGGACAGGGCCGAAGGTCACCTGCCAGTGGGAACTGGGCCTCATGCTCTGCAGCTGACCTCAGGGACCAGCCCACCACTCCAGCCCAGAGAGCAGAAGCCCAGGGCCATTCACCATGAAGGAATAGACTGCACCCTCTGCACCAACCTAGGGCCCCCAACACCCAGCTCACCCCAAGGGACCAGTGGACAGAGGCTTAGGGTCAGCTGCCAGCGAGGTGACTTTAAGGATCTACCATCCAGCCCAACCCCTAGGACCATGGGACAGAGACCAAGGGCAACCTCCAGAGGCGACTCCGCCAGGCTCTGCAGCTCACCCAATTATGGGGACCCCAAGGCAGGTGCTGACCACGTACCTTCAGCCCTCATCACATACCCACCATCTTTGTCTTCCTTGGGGACCTGGTATACTCTCGAGGAACCTCAAGACACCAGAGATCTCGGGGACATTGGCTGCTCAGAATCACCTAGGCTTTTTGAGCAGAGGACATGGGGCCCAGAAAGGGAGGAACGGAGTTGGTGAGGACAGTTCCACCCCAGCATCCCTAATGGGCCTCCTCCAGGAACACCTCTGCCTTGTGACTCACAGCTAAGGTTATCCAATCACTAACTAAAATTGCCTAGAGTGACAGTTCTTTTCAAGTGACAAGTCTTTGCTGGGCTGGAAAAAATTCCAAGTTAGAAGCCTTTGCTTGGAACTTGGTAAGGATGGGATTGAACTATGGCTCGGGGAGACTGCTTTCCCAGTATGAATGATGCCCTGGGTGTTAACCTCACCACAGAAACAAAGAACAAAAGAAGTTACTTGGGGAGTGTGAGGCAGGAGGAGCCCAAGGTTCAGGTAAGGATCTACACTGTTAACCGTGTTTACTGTGACGGGTCCTTGCTTCCCCAAATGCTGAAGTATAACACAGAGAAGCACGTGGAGAGTGGAAAGTGGAAGGCTCAATTAAGGGAGAGCAGAAAAGATTCACTCCCACCCCCAGGAAGAAGGGGACTGGAAAGGAGAAATCCTTGGAAAAGGGAGGTCTTCTCCCTTTTATACCTAAGGTCGTCTTTTGTCCTCTCACATTCCTGTCCTTTATTTCTCTTTATTGTGCATGGGATGGGGGCTGCAGGTGGAAGGACAAAGGTTGGAAAACTGGTGGACCCGTGGGGCAGGAAGCAGAAACCAGGGCAGGAACAGCCTATGGTGATTTGATTAGCATCTCCCTGTTTTACTGGGAGCTACTTCATTAACCCTTATTAGGACCTCCCCAAGATCATGGGACACTAATATTTCAATTTCTAAGGTGTTTTTATGATTTTCCCAGGCTCAGATTAGACTCCATTTTCTTTATGGCTCCTAATGAACCCCATTAACTTAGCTACAGAAACTCTTCTCTTTAAATCTGGCTTCTCAAACAGGGAGATCCTAGCCAGAACAGAGAAAGAAAAAGCTGCTTTTATGTATGTGATGTGACAACTTGACTATGGTGACTCCATTTTGTGAACTCAGCCATGACACACAAAAAAGTCATGACTGGGGCACTTTGTATTCTTTTTTTCATGAAAAGCCCCCAAGAACTCAGCATTATCTATGGTGCCAACTGGAGACTGACTGACTTCAGCTTTCAGCCTTGCTTGCATTGCCTGAACCCCCAAACGTCCCTTTCATGGTATTTGTGCTTAAATATGGAGCCACCTGAAGGCAGGGGCACCACTCTGTCCATCTCATTCTTTCGAGAGCAGAGTGTCTGCCACTGGCCAGCAATAAAGGCTTAACTGGAATGAGACTGTGTGGTCAGAGTTATTTGAGGGTCTCAGTATTACAATGTGAACTTCTGAGCCCCTCCCCTTACATGCTGGGTATAAGATTCTGAAACCACCTGAACTCGGGGTTCAGGGGATTGACTGATTGATAACAGAAAAAGCAGTGCCCTCTGAGACTGGCTGCAGCCAGATAAAACTGTTTCTGGCTATCTTCAGTGCCTTGCCTCCTTTGTCCCTACCTCATCATTACCCTGTGCACTTACATGACTACACGACTGAGGTGACTCTACATCATGGACTATCAGAAAGGGGAGCAGTTATCCTCTATTGATGGAGCCCAGAATTCCATATCCCTGGGATCTATAAACAACCTCCTTATTCCCTTTAAAGCAGTTATTTTGACCAAACACAAGGAAGTGTTAAGTGATCATTCTTTCCCCTCAAGGATAACATTCACAAATAGAAAACAAATGCTTTCAAAAGTGTCCTTCTTGCCAGGGACAGTGGCACAGGCCTGTCATTCCAGATACGTGGGAGGCTGAAGCAGGAGGATCACAAGGCTGCGGAGGCAGGGAGGAAAGGAGGGAGGGAGGGAGGAAGATTCTCTCCAATATTTCACTAGAAGAAAAGTGACAATTAGCAGACGGTGTGCATTTGACCATTTGGACCGAGTGGGAAGAACGGACGTCTGGCCGAGCTGTGAGGTGGAGGGAAGGTGTGTTTAGAAGGCAGGAGGCGCCTGCAATTTGGGGGACCTACAGCAGCCTCCGGAGGAGCTCCCCTGGGAGGAGGAAGGTGCATTTGTGGCCCTGCTTGATCCACGTTGGGAACAGTGTGTTGTCGGGCCACCAGTAGAGAGGAGGGGACACCAGGGACCTGAGCCACCCTTCCAAACCCCCAGGGAATCAGGGGACAGGGCCCAGGGCCACCCTCCGGGGGGACTCAGTCGCGCTCCGCAGATAATATCAAAAAACCCCAAACCCAGCTCACCCCAGGAGACCAGGGGACAGGGGCCAGGGCCACCCGCCAGCGGGGACTCCGCTGCGCTCCGCAGCTCACCCGCAAGCCGAGCCCCAAGACAGATGGTGATGAGCACCTTCAGCCCTGGTCGCAAACTCACCATTTTTGGCTTCCGTGGTGACCCGGGGTCCTCTGGAGGAACCTCCGGGTACCCGAGATGTGGGGGGGTGGGGCGAGGAACACAGGCTGCGCAGAGTCCTGGGTCCCTGGAGCAGAGAACTTGGCCCTGAGAAGGAGTAGCCCAGTTGGAGAGGAAAAAAAGCCCGCGAGATTGCGGAAGCCCGCCCTTCCACTTCCTCTGCGCACTGATTGGACAGTTGCCCCAGCATCCCGGATGGACGGCCTCCAGGCCCGCCTCTGCATCGTGACTGACAGCCTAGGTGTCCAATCACTGGCTGAAATTGGGTAGAGTGACAGATTCCTGGCTCCAGCCCTTTTCAGGCGGAGCTTCCGGCTCTTCTGGGAACTAATCCAGGTGGGAAGCCTTGGCTTAGCCTCTGGTACAGAGGGGACACCTGGCGCTGAGCTGGGCTTCACCCATAGAGTGGTTTCTGAGCTTGGCAAGGCCCTGGGTTTAACCTCAACACAAAAAACAAAGCACAGCTTCTCAGGGAGGCTGGGGCTGGAGGAGCCCAAGGTCAGTGAGACCTTCTCTTAAAATGAAAGGAAAAGGGTGGGGTTGTAGCTCAGAGGTCCAGGTCAAGCCCCACTGGGTTTATTCCCCAGTACCTCAAAGAAAAAGAAAGAACTATATAACATATTTTTTTCAGCTGATGCGACCTCAAGCGACTTAGAAAGACCCAGTCTCCAAATTTTTGAAACACTATTTAAAGATATCACATGTATGACCCATACATAATATCTAAAAATGAGAACAATTTGAAAACTATTTTAGTAATTCTCATCACCTCCCGGCCTCTGTGGCTTTGAGGAGGCAGCCTGAGCTATGAAAGGAAGCCATTGGGGTTGGCTCTGATGCTCAGGGTCCCATCCCCAGCAGAGAGGGTGGGGGAGGAAGGAAGGCAATCCTCTAGGGCAGCAATGTGCGGTGGAAATTAAATGGGTGCCTTGTGCTTAGTGTAGATGTTCTACTTCGACTGTTAGGAAGTCTTGTGCAGAGACCTGACTCTGGG